GCTAGTAAGAAGCAACCAAGGACCCTAAATGCTGCTTATGTGGGGGATTTTATTTGAAATGTCTGAACTAAGGGACTTACATTTTCTGTTTCCTGTAAAAGAACAGCACCAACAGCTCTTTAACTGCCAGGGATCAGTTAAAGTTGGAGAGGGTAAGTGTGAACTAAGTTATAATTGTCCAGTTGGACATAGAAACAGAGGTATTGGCAGGGAGGTCTTTAGAGAGAAGGTTATCACTGCTTTGTGACTGCAGCATGCTTTTTTTCAGCTGGGATGAAAGACAGCAACCACAATCCCTAACCTCATCTCAGAACTGCCAGAGGAAAACTGTAGAAACCACTTGGACTGCTGCAAAGTCTGGCTGCAGGGATGGGCAAGATGGTAAGACCAGCCTACACCTATGTCCCCTTCTGACCCTTATTCCCTAGTTTGGCTTGTTTAATAGATGTGTAAGTCATCTATTACACAGGCACACAGTGATTGGAAAAGGGGGGACAGAGGAGAGAGTTACATTAGATGTTGTTAGGAAGAAATTCTCTACTCAGAGGATAGTGGGGCACTGGAAAAGGTTGTCCAAACAAGTTATGGGTGCCCCATTCGTGGGAGCGTTCAAGCCAGATTGGATGGGGCCCTGAGCAACCTGATCTGGTGGGTGGAATCCCTCTACATGGCAGGGGTTTGGAGCTAAATGGTACTTAAGGTCCCTTCCACCCCAAACAATTCTATGTCCTAGTCCAGACAACATTCCAGGTAGCATCCATGCTGCCTTGCCTGGCCACTGAGCTTGGCACTTGGGCTAGGAGATCTACCTATGCCCTATTTGTCATCAACAAAGAGAAAGAACATTACTCCTCAGGGCTGTTCAGGCTGCCAAAGCAACATTCCAGCTTAGGCAGGGAGCCTTTTTCCATGTTTCTCTCCCCTGATGAAAGTGAGGGGGAGATGAGCTTCCCCTCTGTCTAGGGCTTTTCTTCATGACACCAACAGGTTTTCTTTAAGTGCCACAGAAGGCATAATTGAAAGAAGCCTGTACTAATAGGTGGGTGAAAAGGGAAGGAACTGATCGTCTCAATAGCATCTTTCTTGGCCTCAATCTGACAAAGATTTAGGCATAGGACTAAATTTATGCTATTCATTTCCTCTGTCATCTGCAGTTTCCCCTCTCAGATGCACTAGTGTTTGGGGAAGCAGAATTCTCATGTGAGCTAGCTGTTGTGATAAGAAGACTTCCTTAGCTTTTCTGAGTCACACCAATAATTCCAGAGGTCCTTATGTTCATTTTAAATACTCTGACATTGCACTTTCCAGATAAGAATTTTACACAGTTTTAGAGCTGTTCTGTCCCATTTGATTTACACATCTATCACTTTTCATTACGTAGTTATGTTTGATCATTGGTCTTCTGGCCCTGCAATTTATGAGAAAAAGAAATTGGAAAAAACATGTGTCTACCAAAGGTCCTGCATACACCAAAACAGTATGGGTGTTTTCCAGTTCTGAAGAGAAATTGAGAAGAAATACCAGACTCTCAGACTTGGCACTTTCTATTTGATATGGACAATATGTGAATATACCTAAAACAAATCAACAGTATCTTTTTTTTGTGAGGAATATTCTCAATAGTTAATTTATTCTGCTTTACTGCATTTGCTTATTTCAAAGAGGAAAAATTGAGTAAGAATTAGTATAACTGGCCTGCAGTATAGAAACAGGATAAACATGGAAATAATTTGAATAGAAATATAAACAGGAATGGCAGAGTGCCAGCAACAGCTTGAACATAAATCCTCAGACAGCTATAGCAGAAGTATCTTTCCTTACATTCTTTGCATTGCATAAAACAGTCTGTGTAGTTTGAGAAGCTATGTTCATGTGTCTCATTACCACTTCTCTCCAAAATATAGCCAAACCTTTATAGCTGGTTAGCTTATAATTAGAATAACACCACTGGAGCTCTGTAAGATTTTTTTGTTGTTTTTTTTGGATAACAGATTTACATGTGGACTGCACCTGTTTGATACTTATTTTAGCTTAGCCTTAGGCCCCAGATATAGGAGTCACATGGAGTGAAGGAGGGAGATATAACCCCCAGAGGTTCCTAAAAAATTTGAAGCCAGGTTACCTGATGATAATATGCCTGAAAGGGTGGTGTGGTGTGTTTTGTTTGTTTGTTTGTTTGTTTGTTTTTTCCAGTTCCATTGGTTTTGAAACTGTCACACCTGGAGCACAGCACACAGTATCCTAACTGGAAGGGATTCAGTAGTTTGCTGAAACTGACAGAGTTAGAGAATTACACACTTGCCCTCTGTGTTTATAAACAAATAAAAAGAGGTGAGAGAAAGCTGAGTGTCCAAAGCACAGGCAGGTATGGAATATTCCATGAAGTGTTCGCTGTGCAAATGTATAATATGCAGTGAGTCAGTATAGCAGACTTGTTCAGTGATCTAAGGTCATTTGTATCTTGGATTGTTCAGCATACAATGTGTTTGTAGTCCTTTTCCTACCAGATTGCTGACTTACAGTGAGATATATAGAAAATATTTTAAAATATAAACTAGGACCTTCCACCTGCTTCAGTTGAAGAAGAAAGACTGAAATGTGGAGTAAATGTTAATTGTGCAAGAACTGAAGTCATCCTTGACTTTGTTTGTCAATATTGCACCTAGATTCTATTTAGATTGTCTTACAAGTTTAACTGAAAACTGAACTGGCAAACAGGGTTTGTTTAGAAAGCTAGGGTAAAAGGAAGAGGAAAAATTTACTTTAGTTGCAAGGTTTTAGAAATTTCACTTGTAATACATGCCATGACTTTATTGACAGATTTTATACGTTCCAGTCCACTTCTGTCTGTGGCATAATTGTGCAAAATTAACGGCAAATGTTAGGGAAATACTTAGTTGGAAATAAAGTATTGGAAGGAACTTCAGAAAGGTGCCTTCTCCTTGCTTCAAGTCTGGATCAGTTCTACATAAACCATTTGTCCACAAATATTTAGTTTCTCCTAAAACCAGCAATGAACAGTCAAGTCTTCTGGTTCTGTCTGATCCTTGTCTAAGTTCAGGCAAGGAAATGTCTGCCTCCAGTGGAAAGTAAATTTCCCTTCCTGCAGTTGGACTTCCGAATTTTCTTATTTCTCAACAACTGTGATGATTTCCTTTGCTGCTACCTGTTCCAGAATGTATGCCCTTCAAATCTTTCATTTCACAGACTCTCGATGTTTCACAGAAACTTGATGTTTTCATTTCATTCTGTTTTTTATTCCAAAAGTTTTTTAAAACCCTAAAACTGGACACAGTACTTGAATACAGTATTCCAGTGAGTCAATGGAAAGACTATCCTGCTAGCAGAAGGAAATTTACGTGTGCAATTGAAGGTGCTCTTGCTTTTGTTGGAGTAAGGTAAAAAGTTGCCACCTTTCAGCTGAGATACAGTAACTGCTGGTGTGTCTGCTCCCAGCAAATGCAGAGACAATCAACAGGTTCGATCTCCTGTTCCATATGGGGCTGGCTGTATATGCAGTCAGTTTCTGTGAGAAGGGACAACTGTTACCAGCTGGGGACAGTAGCAGCAAGGATTCCTCATGCCCTAAGAGGTTAGACTTGACAATTCCATAAAGTGTACCCAGCCAGCTGCCTAGATCTGCTGTCAAATGGCACGAAGCCAGTCCAGGCAGCAGCCTTCTGCTTTGTAGTTTAAACATAATCAGGTAAGTTAGGGATTTGTCAAGGAATTCCACAGTTTTGGAAGCACTAAGCCCCCTTGTAGCAGTAAATATATGTAGCCTGTCTTCCTTCTTACCCTCTTCAGGACAATCACTTTTGGGCTGGTAATTACCAGTGCTTATGCATAAGAATATTAAGAAAACCCAAAGTATTTAAATAGTCTTCAGAATATTACTTGTGGGTTTTTAGGAAGAAAATTTTACTTTGTTCTCAAACACTCTTTCTTCATTTTCCCAACTTGGTGTGCATGTTTTTCTGTTGCTTGCTTCCAGTTACCTAAATAAAATGTTCTGGTCCCAGCAAAGAAGTGGAGAGAATGACAGATTACCTCTCATGAAGCAGTTTCTTAATGCAGTGCTCCTAGAGGCAGTTATAATAGTTCTGAATTCTTGGTATGTGTTTTACCATGGAGGCCCCATATCCTGTACTAATTCTAGGTGTAACAAGGAGTCACTATGAAACGTGTTTTTGCTTTAAGGACAACTATGCATATGGTGACTGGCAGTTTGTATAAAGAAATGACCTTCACGTGCAGAGCAAAATTCAATTAGTGTTTCTTTTCAAGCCTACACATGACACTAGAGCACAGCTCACCCAGTTTCCATTCCAACGAGATAGTTCATATATTCCATTTAGAAAATGCATTTTTGCACTTGGATATCTCAGCGGTCAGAGAATAAATCACAGTCACAAGATTATCAGTGCTGTGTAGGGAAAGCCAAGATACTAAAAAAGCAGGAGGTCAAACACATTCAAGGTCACACTAGTCCCTCTAAGCTGGTGAGTGACACGTGACAATGTGGACGAAAAGTTGAGCGTTCGTAGACAAAAGCCCGAACGTTCCTACCGATGCATAAGCAACTTTGTGTGAGGTGCAAGGCGTACCTGGGAGCGCACGCACCGAGGCCTCCCAGACACAGATACCTGAGTCACTGAGTGTGCGCCATGGTACGCCGAGGCCAAACTGACCCGGCAGCCGGTGCCGGGGGCAGCCTGCTCGGCGTGCACCAGCGAGCGGGGTCGCGGGAGCGGGGCCGCGGGAGCGGGGCGCGCCGCAGCGGCCCCGGGGGCAGCTGGCGGTGCCCGTGCCCCGCCGCCCGCTCGGGCGCGCTCCCGGGGCCGCCGGCGGAGCCCGCAGGTGCGGGGCGCGGCGCCGGGAGCGCGCACGTTGCCCGGGCGGGGGGGGTCGCCGCGTCCCCGGCGAGGGCGGCGGCCGCCCCTCTGCAGCGCGCTGCGGGCAGGACGCCTGCGCCGTGCGGGGGGGCGGGCGCCGCATCCCAGCGCTCGGAGCTGCGGGCGCCGGCATGAGCCGAGGCTTCGCCGCGCCCAGCCCGACCTGAGCCGGGAGACAAAGGGGAGAAGCTGCCGCCATGGGCGAGCAGCTCCGCGCCCAGCCCGCCGCCTCGGCGGGGCCGCCGCCGCCCGCCGCCGCCTCCTGCTCGCTGCTCGGCGGGCTGCTGCAGAACGGCTTCCACCCCTCGGGCCCGCCGCTCAGCAACGGCGGCTGCGGGGAGCCGCCGCACCCGCTGCTGCTGCGCCCGGAGCTGCCGCCGCTCAGCCACGGCTCCCCGGCCAAGAAATGCAGGCTGCGCCGGAGGGTGGATTCGGGCCGGCGGCACAGGCCACGTAAGTGATGATGACCGCGGCGGCTCCGGGGAGCGGCGGCGGCCCGGCCCCCGCCGCGCGGCGCTGCCGCAGCCCGGCCCGGTGTCAGGCGGCCGCCGGTCCCGCGCCGCCTCCCTCGCTGCGGAGCGCCGCCCGGCCGGGGCTGACGGCCGCCCGGCTCCGCGCCGCGGGCGTTCCGCCCCCCAGCGCCGGCTGCCGGGCGGGCGGAGCGAGGGCCCCGTGCCGGCCAATGCGGCGGCGCCGCCCGGGCACGGCCCCGCTCTCGCGTGGGCCGGGCCCGCCCTGCGCCAATGGGGCGGCGGCGGGCGGGGAGCGGCGGCCCGGCACAAACGCGGGCGGGCGGCGGCGGCCGCTCCTCACCGAGCAGCCGCTCCGTGCCGAGCAGCGCGTCGGGCGGTGCCAGGGTCCTGCCCCGCTCGCCGCCTCCCGCCGCACGCATGAAGCTCATAGTGCCCAAGAAACACTGTGAGTAACGCCGGGGCGCTCGGGAGCGGGGGAACGCTCTGCGGGCTTGGTGTGTGCTCCTTTCCCGAACGCTGTTAGAATGAAGGAAAAAGTGAATCTGGGAACCCGGCTCAAGTTATTCTGACTGGCGGGGAAAAATGTTTGTAAACAGTTGAAATTTGTAATGTGCTTCTCATTTAGGAAGTGTTCGTGAACTGCTTGTCTATTTCAGGTTTGGTTTCAAGGCTGAGACTCTAACGTCCTATTTGTTAATTTTGTATTTCCTTAATTCTCTATGGTTTATTGATTAGTAGTCTCGCTTACTTGGAGGTATTGAATAATTCCATGGTAAACCCCGCAAGTAAAACAATCTAAGGGAACAAGTTTCTTTTCACTCTCACTTTGCTAGCCCTTCACATAAACCCACAAATGTTTGGTTCTTTGTTGCAAGTTCAGCATGTTCCAAAAGGATAATAGGGATAGTCAGGATCACAGCTGCCTGCTGCCAAAACTTAAAGATGTTTCTACTCAGTAGGAAGTAGCGTCCATTCAGCTACTCTGGGCTTTGGATTTTTCCTTTGTTTTGAAGTGAGTATTAAAAAAAAAAACTTTTCTGGTTAAGCAGAACAAAATATTCAGAAACAGCCTTAAAAAGCTGCACCTTTCACAGAACTGCGTATTAGCCAGTGCCTTTTCTGACTTTTACAATGCTTTTGGTGAGCTACTCATGCCGCTTTCCCTTAGAATGTTCTCTGATTGATTAATTGTGTAGTGCTTGTTGATAGTACAAAAGATAGCTTGTTGCAATACCTGTTGATAGTTAATGTAGTCCTCTTATCAAATTTAACTTATCAATGACCAAGTCATTCTCTGTCACAAACTGTTTTTGTAGTCTTTGTCCTGCTTCATGTTCTCTTCATGAACAAAACCTGCAGAACTTGGACTGGCTTACATTTTGATTGGCGTAACTAAGGAGAGTCAGCACTTGCATATCAAACTCTCCATAATAGTAAAAACTATTTTGAAGCAAAGAGTAAAGCTTTTAGGGATTCATGTAATCACTTGACTAAGAAAGAATGAGGGCTTTGGAATTTCCATTCCATCTTGAGGGAAAAAAGATCTCATCAAAGTAAAAAGCATAGGTGACTGACTATATTGCCCAATATGTATGACAACTGAATCTTTAGGTGTGGAGTTTTAGTGAAATGAGGCTTTAATGAGAACAGCAGCTGATGGAAGTGCTTTGTAGAACTATTTTGAGGGCAATTTATTTGCTGAGTAAAATACATGAATGCTTGCTGATAAGCTTTTTCATATGTATGGTTTATTTTGTACAAGAAAAGGTTTGAAATTTAAAATTAGTCATACAGGCAATAATGATAGCACATCGTCACCATCTTAAAAAATTCATTACATTATTATTCAAATTGTCCTGGTCCTGCATGCCTTTCCACTGCATCCTCCTCTAGTGAGTACTACACAGTACCATTTTTACTGGTTTGTTTGGTGCTTTTAATCCTGACCTTTACAGATGTTTGTTCTTTTCTTAAGGACAGATTGCAAAATGAAGTGCAGTTGCCACATGGCATGTGAGAACAGTATTGATTGCAGGGTTTGCTTTGTGTGGTGGTGAAGTTAATGAGATGATTGGCATTTCCCAATATTTTAACAAATGAAACCTATCTTTCTGCAGTAGTTATTCCTTTAAACCCTTATTTCATTAATGGTTTTTACTTTCTGACAAAGTGAGGTAGAATTCTATGTTCACAGTCTTTTTCTCCTCTCGGAAGGGAAGATTCCCCATGATTCCAGTGTGCTTTGCTGATAAGCCGGCAGTGAGAGAGGACTCCTGGTGCAGCTTCTGCTGGGAATCCTGCCTTGGCTTTCTTTTTTCCTTCATTTAACTAGATGGGTTGTCAGGGATATTAGGCTTGTGTCAGTTTTCTTTTTCAGACCAGTTTGTGGTAGTATAAACCATTTGTGTGGATGGTCACACCTTTTTAACAAAAAGCTCTCTGCTTTTGGGTTTGAGCTCTTTGTGGGGTTGTTGTAACTTTTGGGTTTTGTCTGTTTGTTCTTCTGGTGAGGAGGAAGACATTCAATATGCTCCTGCTACTGAAGATGAACTGGAAGGCTTCACCTGAGATGTGTGCATGATTCAGCTCTAGCTTTTTAAGGTTTGAGGAAACTTTAATTAGTAAGCAGATATAATACATTTTTGAGCTACATATCCTAGTTTCATTCAAAGAAGAAAAGATGCTTCCATTTTATTTTTTATAGCTGTGTAAAACAGGAAGAAGTAATTGAAAAATTTGTGTAAGCTATTATAGCTTTATTTTTTTAATAAAAATCAGCTTTCAGAAGCTGTAAGAATACTATGTCATGTCATGTGTGTTGTTTTGATTTTTTTCACCTGTTACTGTTTTTGGCTCTCACCTCTTCTGGACCAAATTAGCACAGGAACTTCCTAGATCATCAAAGTGTCAAACAATGCAAATGAAATGTAAATGAAGTAATAGGATTTCAACATATGTGTGTTCAGAAAGAAAAGCAGCTGAAACTGCTGCTAAGATATTTCATCTGAGATACTTATGACTAAGATCTCAGAGTATTGATACTGCCATTCAAATTATTGATTAAAAAATTGAAATACTGTGTCTGTCTTTGAGGAAATACAGGTATTGTAAGGGAGATGTATAAGTTGAAACAGTTTTGGCAAAAGAAGGAACTGCTGCAAACTGGTCATGAATAAATCTGGGGCTCAGGTAGAAGAATGTTCTAACCAGCAGGATTCAAGCACAATCTCTCTCTGAATGTTGAGGAGCAGAAAGATTCAACTGACCTTATGTGGTGGTTGGTTAAATGTGTGAAAAGGATTACTCTTGGTTATCTTCTGTAATGGGGGTAAACGTTACTTGATGACCCACGAGTTCCCCCTCATTCTTGCTGCTCCTGACTCTTGTCTGTGAGGAGAATGTTGTGATTTCATATTTACTTTCCACATGCCCTCATTATATTGTGTGTTAAGCATAAGACTTTTAAAAATACAAGGTGTTGAAATCTGAATATAGTAATGCCTTGTAGGAATGGCCTGATACTGCAGAGCTAATGCAGAAACTAGGTAAAATGTATCATGGAATTTCTCATGAGTGAACCTTTGCCCCAGATACACAGCTGTTGGTGTGCATCAGATTACCTACTTATGCAATGCTGTAGATACCTTCTGTTTGCATTGTCACATGCTTCTGCAGCTAAATTTTGGACTAGTACAGATTTTTATCTCACGATAACAAACCGCTAAGTAGTTGGCACAGTTTATTAACATAAAGAGAATTAATTTTTTTAAATATATAAGTAGAGTCTTTGATTTATGCTAGACGTTTAACAATATGTGATGCATCTTGATGCTTTCTGTATTGGTTCTGTGGGACTTAAAACTAGATTTTACAGTGTTATTTTTGACTTACTGCTGTGTAGCAATGCAGTAGAATAGTTCTAGTTTTGCCACAGTTATAGATTCAACTGATGCAATGGGTATGTTGCATACCTACTGAAAAGAGAGAAATCAGCTCACTGGCTTTATCAGACAATTTTAATTTAGAAGTGCATTTTTTTGCATTGTGAGAGCATTTCTACAACATATCTGGTGTCTTTACTCCTCATAGTAAATGGCACAGTTTTGACTAACTGCCTGAGGTGTGGGTGGGATGGATTTTACTTTCCCCTCCTTGCTTTCCTGTCTTTTCATAATTCAGGGACACTTATTCAGGTCATCAATGAAATGCTGGACTTCCAGTTTAAAACAAATCAACAGAAAACCTCAAACACTGTTCCCTCCACCCCTCCCCCCAAAGAAACCCCAACAAAAACCACCAAAAAACCCCACAAACAAACAAAAAAACCCCAAACATACCAAGCAAAAAAAAACAAACCAAAAAAAACCCAAAAACAAACAAAGCAAATGAAAAAACCCCCCAACCTCCACAATTTTCTGCCGATTTTCCCTCAAGTCTATGGAAAACTTACCTACACAAACACTTTTCTTTCACAGCCCCTGGTTGTAGTTCTGGGCAGGCTCTGTTAATTTCGGTGGCCTCTGAATCCTCTTACTCTGTATTCCCAGAGGCAGCAAACCCCAGGAGCAGCTGCAGTCTGTGTGCACATTTCCATTAGCACCACACTCAGTGGCTCCAGGAAGGATGAAGTGTATAGGTACCTATTGAGATATGAATTTCATATAGATATGGAGAAGAACTGATGGTGGGTCAGTGGTGCATTTTGATTTGGAACATACTGATAGTAGCAAGAGATACAATGGATACATTTTAAAATAATCACTGGAATACTGAGGTGTTTCTACTCTCACTCCAGTTGTGCAAAAGTTATATGAATTTCAGTGTGACTTGTTAGAAACTTTTTGAGACTTTAATTTCTGATTGGTCAACCAGTCAAGATGGTTGTTGAATTTTTGCAAGTAATTCCAACAGAGAACTGGTATTAGAAGTTGAGAAGAAAACCAAGCTGTTTTTCTGCATAACTGAAATATCTGGTTTTGTTGTCTGATCTTGGGCTCTTTATTTGTGCTGAAGAAAACTGCTGGTGTTCTAAAAGCAAAGTTCCTTTCTTTCTGCAGCAGTCCATTTGGCTCCCAACAAAATGAAAGGAACTTAGATTCACAGAGAGAATCAACTAAAAAAAAAGTGTCCTGGTATTTCTGTTCGCTTTATAAATGCGAGCATTATGTGTAGCTATCCCAAGAATTATGCCGAGTTGAAGAAACTTCATAGCTGTTTTCTACAGTACTTATTCTTTGTGAATTACTTGGTTATAACTCTTTAAAATGTTTAGATGAAAAGTGAAATGTCTTGGCAGTCATTTATGAATAACTCTCAGCTGTTAGTGCTTACTTTAACACTTCTGTTGCTGGGCTTGTGTTTGATAGGAGGATGGAACACTTCTTGCCTCTTTTAAAGATGAAATCTGCACTATGGCTTTCAAACAAATGTTGGTGCAGGTAGAGTGGAGCAGGTTTTATGCCCTTAGTGCAAAATAGTGGAAAATGGCTTATACTTAGCTACAGGCTGGTTCTGTATTGCGTAGTCCAACCGTGCTGCTTTTAAAATGAAACTTCCTGCTTGCATAGTTCAGGTACATCTGAGGAGGAGACTTACTGTTCCAGTGGGACAGGTAATTAAAGTTCTCAGTAGCTTTATTAAAGATTTGTGTAAATCACTAATGGGATTGCAGCCTGAGCTCCACTGCATTGCAATGTTGCACAGTGTGGATGAGACAGCTTTCACATAAATATTTACCTTGTACTTTCCCAAGTGTTTGAGTTGCAGGTTAGTCCATAATATATTTTTTCTTCTTAAAATAAAGCCTGTTTTAAACACACTTGTTTTGAATTCTTCCCATTTCAGGGAACTCTCCTGTACCTGCATAGCATGATAAACCTCAAATTAGACTTAATTTCACTGTCTTTGTGCAGATTGCATAGCATGGGAAAAAATTAGACCTTACAACAGATAACAGCTACATCATTGGAGTTTATGCATTATGCCTGCCTTGTCCATGGGGAACTGGGAGGAGAAACTGATGATTCAATTTCTTGGCATACAGCAATGAAGTGAAATAACTGTTCTAAACGTCTGACATTTAAGGATTGGTTTGGGCAGGGAGAGCATATTAAAAATTGGAGAATTTAGACTTTCAAATTATTCAGCCAGCTGATGCTGAGACACTTAGGGTAAGAAAAAAAGACTAAGCCTCTTTCAGCCTGAAGATGAGTAACTTAATTGTGATCTGTGATCACATGAGTAAGGACAGTGTGAGAAGTAGTTCCTATGCTTATTAAAGTATTTGTCCCAAGTTGTTTAATTTTAGGTTCACTGGCAGAAAAATTAGCTATGCTTATGATATTTATGGTTTCAAGTTTGTAACAACACTAACTTGGGATGCCCTAGTTGGTAGAATCATTTTTCTAGCAAGTCCGCCTGGTTCTCCCTGAGAAGCAGGAAGGTGACTGTGTGACTGCTATTTTAGAAGTGTGTCTTAGATGTTAATCATATACTCAGTACTTTTAATTTAATTTTTCTAAGAAACATTGCTAGCTCCCTTCATCTGCAGTGCCTGTGCATAGATTTTGTATTCTCAATTCTTATTGTTTCATAAAGTTACCTGGCTTACTATTTAGAATGTATGCATATATAAGTGGAACAGGTAGACCAGCTTGATTCAGGTACTGTCTTCTGCTGGCTGTTCTCTATAGTCATTTTCTTCTGCTATTAACAAAATGAAGACTTTGGAGGACCGAGGCCAGCTGTGGCAAGCTGAGAAGCAAATAGTGGCATTTCTTCTATAATTATGGGATAGACTAACACATATACCAGCAAAGGAAGTCTGCACTGAAAGGACAGGTCTGTCAGTGGTAAACACTGAACATAAGCCAGCTCACTTTTGGCTGCTATATGCAAGTGTTGCAGTCCAACAGAGCTGCTGGTTCTGGTGGGTTGGGGTCTGGAGGCCTCCAGCATAATGGGAGCTCTGTATTGCTCCTCTCCAGACACAGCCTTGTGACAGTGGAAATTCTGACTGAGCTTGGAAAGGCAATTGTAGATGTTACACAGTGGGAATATGACTTGAGAAATCTCCTTCTCCTGTTTGTTTTGTTGATTCTTCTTCCTCCTCATCTCCTTAATTCTTAGCAGAATTGGAGCCAATTGGGTGAAATACAATTTCATTTCATTTCTTACCCATTGGGTGAAATGCAGTAAATGTGCTCTATCAAGAGGTGGTGACTGAAGAGTAAAATGATTTCCTGGGAAAAATGTTTTCATTTTATGAAAGCCTGCTTCTTCAGACAAGAGTATTTTGAGGTTTTCCTTATTCTTTTTCCTAACTGAGGCTTTATGAAGGCTTAACCTAGAGATGTGTTTAAAGCATGTGAATTGGGCATGACTCCCAGTTCTCAGGAATAGATACTTCTACTGTGACTGCACTGAATTGTCATTCAGCAAATGATTTAAGTGATTTGTCTATCCTGTCTATTTTTAGTGATGTTCTCTTTTTTCCTCCCTAACCCCTTGTTCTTAGCATTCCCATGGTTTGGAATGGATATCGGTGGAACATTGGTTAAACTGGTCTACTTTGAACCTAAAGACATTACTGCCGAGGAGGAGCAGGAGGAGGTGGAAAACCTGAAAAGCATTAGGAAATACTTGACCTCCAACACAGCTTATGGTAAAACTGGCATTCGTGATGTGCACCTGGAACTGAAAAATTTGACTATGTGTGGACGCAAAGGAAACCTGCACTTCATCCGCTTCCCCAGCTGTGCCATGCACAGGTTCATACAGATGGGCAGTGAAAAGAACTTCTCCAGTTTGCACACTACGCTCTGTGCCACGGGAGGTGGCGCTTACAAGTTTGAGGAAGACTTTAGAACGGTAGGTGAGCAGTTCACATGGATTCAGTGGGAGGTACTTTGGAAAAACATTGAGAGCCCATCTGTTAAAACTTGCTGGGAAGATAACTTTTTTTTTAGTCCATCCTAACTGATTAGGAGCAACAGAATCAATTCACATTTGTAAATTGGTGACATTGCTGAGAACATGGAGTGGGGAGGGAAGGGTATTCTACTTGCTGGCTGTTCTACTGAAGTGTTGCTGTGCAGGATGTTTTTAGTAAAGAAGGAGTTTTTTTAGACTATGGCTGTGATGATTAGATGCTTCATAATCAACTGAGGGTATGTTATGACAACCTAGAAGCCTGACACTACAGGTACTTGTAAACTGGTTATCTATTGGAAACCAGATATGAAGCCATACAGGCTGGAGATTTCATTCTGGTTCCCTTCCCTTTGTATTAACCTTCAAACAGACTGAAGTCAAGAGTCTGGAAGACTCTTGGAGCATGGGGGAGAGACAGTGCGTGGGAGCATAATAATACCAGCAAGGTTTTGATTTCAATTCTGTGAGTATGCCATTTAAAGAAAGGCAATTCATGAGATGAGTAGGTCTCAGATCCCCAAAGATTTTAAAATAGCCTTTGCAGGGAACTCCAGAAGCTGATGTAAATGAAGTTTTGCACTAGTGTACTCTTCCAAAATTGGTTGTGGTGCAGAAGATCAAAGAACTGTTGTACAAACCATGTTGAAGAGAAAAAGCATTCAGGCAGTTGTCTGTTGTGCATCTGTCTGTATTGGGACGTATCTTCATTTATTTTCTGTGAAAAAGTGGCTAATCTGATTGTCCCAGAACAGAATCACCAAGACTAATGTGAATGATTTACTTGACTGGTGGGTCTGGCACTTGTGTCCCTAACTTTTGACCTGATCTTGAGGGAGAGGGATGGCCACTGGGTATGGCAGGTGACAGCTGCTTTTCTGTCTCTGCTTCCATCCAAGGAGCTCTCATACTGAATCACCAGCTGCTCTTTACTGCAGTCCTTGGCTCTGTGTGCTTCATATTTACCTCCCAGGCTTTGTCCCTGCTGTACAAGAGGGGTTTTTCTCTGTAAATACCTTATCATCAATATCCTCACATACCATATGACCGGGATTCTAAGTTGGATAAAGAATGCTGTAAGAGCTCAACATGAATTCCAACTGTTAGGCTGTTTTGCAGTCACTTTCAGTGAATATTAGACTGTTTCCATGTCCAAAGAAGGATTATCAAGTTTCTGAATTGGTGTAGTAGTCCACTACTAGTGCAGGATTTCTTGTTGTTTAGGCTGACTGCAAGTCCCTTACAAGTCAGAGCCCACTGATGATTAAGTCCTCAAAAACGTGCCATGTGTTGTTTAGGGATGTTGGCACCACAGTAGGAGGTGAGTCTTAGTTCTAGTCAGTGTGGCCTCAGTTGCGGTGTGTTTGAGTATCTTATGTCCTGGGAATGGTTCAGGCCACATTCTTTAGTGACAATGGGAGGTCACTTGAGGACTTTTTGAAGAGGCTGACTATCTCCTTGGAATGGTCAGTCTCTCCAAATTCATTCTTCCTGCATCATGTAATAACAGCTACAGTTGCTTAGTAAGGAAGTTCATGTTCCTTGCTCCCACAGTTGTGGAACTGAACTGGAAGTTACCTGATGGCTCACAGAGCTGAACATTTCTCTCTGTAGCTTTGGCCTTACAGGCTGTAAATATGCAATCCACAGTGAGGGATCAGTCTCATCTCAGCTGCAATATAGTCAATAGAGCAGGGGAAGCCATGGCTGGAGGAGCTGGGGCTGTTTTGCCAACTATTGAACACAAATACGAGGCCACATAGCAAATAACTGGTTGACTTAGGCATGAAATTCCACACCTCTGCAGTGTTGTTAACATCCTGTGTGCTACAACATTTGTAGGTAGTTTAAGACAAACCCTATAAAGGCTGGCTGGGGAGTCTGGCATAAAGCTATCAGTGAAATACACTTAGACTAAAGTGAGTGCTTTGGACACCTCTTCCAGCTATCCAGTTCCTATTCCAGCTTCCTTTACAGCAAGTGTTTCTTGGCTCAAACTGTAATATCCTTGGAGAATTACAGAAGCAGAATATTATCCATTACATGGAGGTTTGCTTGCTTAATCTCTCTCAAAGGGCAGCATGTTCTGGGTACTGGCACTTAAATTGTCACACTTCATTAGCCATGGTAACAGCAGCTGGCTATCAGTGTGTTCTGCTGTGTATAAATTGACACTGGACAACAGCTTCAGGACTGCTCTGTCAAAGTTATGAAATACCTGTTTCAAGTATTTGACCACTAATTCACCTCTAGAAGTAGAGAATATGTGCCAAGTCTAAATCTTGCTACTTCAGGTTTCAGTGTTATAAAATGCCTTATATGCTATTTGCTACTTAGAAACAGTGTGGAAAAACTAAGGTATGTTTTTTAATTTAAAAATCTGGATAAATGTTAGTAAATTCATTTGATCTAGCTAACATACTTTTGTTCTGGCCCTTTATTTTCCTTTGTATATGCTTTTAAGTTACTTGTCTATTCACAGTATTTCTCAATGTGACTGTAAGATTGCATAGATTTAGGACAAAAGATCCAATACATTGCAAAACAATGTTCAAATCCCAAGGAAGGAAGCCTTCTAAGGTCATAGAAGCTTTTTCTCCTTAAAATAGAGAGGCAAATACCCTGTTGTTACTTGTCTGTGTTCCTTTGTCTGGTTTTGAATCCCTAAATGAGTTAAATATGTTTGATCTAGACATCTCTGTTGCTTTTGTGTATTAAAAAATAACATACAATGGTGAGACATATTCTGTTCACCTTAAGACTGTTTATTTTTCTATAAAAAGGCAACTAAATCTACAAAGCTACCTAGGTTTAGCTGTCTCACCTCCCTCATGTGATCTGCAGTGTTGGAGAGGTGGATACCTGAGGAAGTCTCCATGGTCTGCTTGCTGATTGCTGGAAGTATGTGGGATCTCTTGTCAGCCAGTAGCTTGGCAAATCATGAGACTCATTCTGAACATCTGAGTGCTTACCCTAGAAGTAGGAAAATTGACTCTATTCATTAAACTAGACCACAGAAATAATTTTACCAACCATATGGTTATACTTAATGTTCATTGAAGAGAGCATCAGTAAGTAATTCACCAAAAGGAGGACTGTTTCCAGCCTAGAGGGTTTTTTCTTGCATTTTTGTTCTTTTTTTACCTCCTCTCTGAATGACTCTGAATGGTCTTTATAGCTGGCAGTCTTTATTTTCAGGTAACAGTGGTGTTAAGGCATGGATGAATCTGCAGCCTAATTCTGATAATCCTCCTTTCCCCAGCTGTGTCACTTCACATATCCTGTAAATGCTCAATTAACCACTTCTGGGAAAGTAAGGAGTACTTACTTGTTTGTGAGATGAATCTCTCTGTGCTCTGTGACTCCTCCATGATAGTGCAGACACATGACTTGCACAGGAGTTTGCTGTTAATGTAATGAGGAATAAATTTCTAGGCTGCCACTCAGTTTTGTAAAGCAACTCAATGTAAAGGATGGGCAGGATGAGGGGAGGAAGGACTTCTCAGACTTTTGATTAAAACCTGCTCTGTTATAAAATTTCTGTTGATTGCAGTGGCTCAAAGGTGGGATCTTTGTATTCCTTTCCTTAACAGACACCTGCAGAACCTGACTTGTATTAATAGAAATTTTATTGCTGTCTTCAGTGGGAGCAGCATCTGTGCTGAAAACACCCAGTCACTTAATCAAGAACATTTAGGACAGGGGAAGGAAATCTCTTTACCAACACAGACTCAAACTCAGGCCTTGACCTTCCCATAAAGGAAAATGATTTAAAAGTGAGTTTGGCTCACTTGAGCTGGATAGTGATTTTCTTGTGCCAGTTATTAGCTAATTCAAAGGCTTGACTTTGTGCTATGAGCTGAATGTCTGAAGATGACTTACAGACTGTGTTAATCTTAAAACAAATAAATAAATCACTGTCCTGTGTTGTAGGATGAGTAAGCTGTGTAACTCTTTCACAGTTAGTATGAGACTCAAAAATCTTCTTGCTGAGGAGGCTGGAGGCAGCTGCTCAGGCTCTAGGGGCTGGGCTGGAGTTGAAAGAGGCATCCAGAGAATGGGTAAAGTAACCTCTTCAGAGGGAATGGGAGAAACAATGTGCATCTCTTTCTGCCAAGAGAGAGGAGAGATCCTTAGGGCTCCTGTGCCAGGGGGCAGAGCTCTGCACAGGATTCCTGATGAGTGCCTTTTTCGCCCAAAGCTGATACAGAGTGAATCTTCTGCCTCAGTGCATGTTGGAATTGCAGTTTTTTTGCATTAGGCTTTGTCTTGTTTGAATATATTTTCAGCTCCATAAAGTAGCATGGTTGGGGTTTGAAGTGAAGATAATCAAAATATAAAGAAAGCAAAGTCTATATGAAAGTAGAAGAGATGGAAGGAAAAGCTAGTTTGTAAGCTATTCTAAGAAATAAAAACTGGAGCAATGCCCAGCAGACATAAAAGCCACAGTGACATAGTAAACGAGGCTGTTGTAATTGATAATTAAAAACTTGCCAAATGCTATGTTCCTAACAGGTTTTTTACAGAAAAAAAATCATATTTCTCATTGAAAGTCTAAGCAAAAAATGAACTTGCAACTGCATCTGGGTTCAGATTTTGCTGTGTTCACCAGAATACAGTACAAGTGGGTGAAATGTTCCATGAGCTGGAGCTTCATTGAAAATATGTCTGCACACCAATTGTGATACATTAGACTTCAACCCCAGAGCAAGTATGTCATGGCTGCTCTCAGCTCACTTCTAGAGCACTGGGCTGTTTCATGTTCACCTTGCTAAAGTGGATATATTTGCTCACCCATAATAAGAAACAAATGGGACCCAAGTCTTTGACATATGTGCTTCCATATTTGAAAGCACAGACAAGCTGGTACCATGTTTTTTCTTTTTATACTGCTTGATACTTGAATAGAGATATAATTTTCCTATTGTTATGCTATTACACTATTTAAAAAACAAACAAGGCAAACAACAAAGAAATCCAAATCTAAATTGGATCAGGTAACACAATTTCCCAGCACTTCTTGCAAGAGTACAAGAGATGGTCTTTGATTTTTCTTGGAATAGCATCTGTGCACAGTAGCAACAGACCTTTTGTATCCTAAATCAGCTGTGTTTCAGGAGTGTGATGCTAAGGTCATGGGGGAAATGTTGGCTATTTTCTCTTGGTGTGTGGCACCTGCTTGTAAGCATGGTTGAAGCCCTACGTCACTCGTTTTGATGGTCCTGAAGAGTTTCTTGAGGTCTAAAGTGTTTTGTTCCCTAGCCCAGTATTTAAAAAGCAGTCTTAAAAAGGAGATATCTAGTCTGGCTATAATGCAGAAAAATTATTCTTTTAAAAAATGTCTGTGTGGTTCCTCTGTAATCATCATAAATTTTCCCTGCAGGGTCCTGTATACTACTTTGTGCTGCAGTTGTTCTTCTCAAAGCACAGCTTTCTGACATAACCTCTAGAGAGGCACTGTGCTAAATATAGTTACAGGAGTGCAGAGTAGGGTAAGTTGACCATTTTGCTGTCTGCCCTTCTTGGCAGGAATTGTAAAGGGCTGGAAAATACCTGCAAATGCATTTTGTAAACATTGTAGGAAAAGCATCCAGTTAAAATGTGCTTCTAGACACATCTTCCATTTTAGTTATGCATATTTGCACATAAACTTTGGTTCATCTAAGGAGAGGTTTGAACAGCTGAAAGTTGAGGGTGAGTAGAGTGTGGTAGGTCAGGTTATGGCAGCAGGAAGAAATATTTGCCTACTTGTAAATTAGTTACAATGGTTACAGGTGCCTCTATTCTGAGTGCACTTTTGGTGCTTTGAGACATTGTGAGCAAATATACAGTTGTGAATGCAGGGAAAGGGACAGAATTGTGACCATGGCTCAGTTGTGGCTTCTTGTACAAGACTGGGTTACTACATTTCTTGAAACTTTGCCCTAATTTCTGTTTAGAAATAAGAACAGTGTTGGCTCAGTAAGCTGTTTGGAGCCTTGGGTGTCTGGTGGCTGCAGAGCTTTTGATTCTCTGAAGAAAGGTGGATTGACATAGAATACTGATGCCTGTGTTGATTATTCCAAAAATCAAAACCAGACTGTTCAATGACACAGGAAAATAGTTTTTCAGTCTGCTATGAATATCATACATAAAAGAAAGCAGTAATAGGACTTCTCTGCTTACAGTATATCAACTGTTAAATATAGCACAGAGCTATAAAAAGCAGAGCAAATTTTAGTGTGTCTTTTATACACGGAGGGCTGGACCTAATAAAAGCTAATATGTGTAGTGCTTGAGAAAGATGCTGATTAGTTTCTCTTGTTCTGTCCTTACAGAGTTGGTGAGGTGACTGGAGAGTTTGTAGAATTGAGGGGTTTATCTGTGGTTTTGTACTGGTGTCAGAAGTGTTCTGCTCTGACTTGTATTACTTGTTTGTGTCTTGCAAGGTCTCTGGCTAGTGCTTACCTGTGTGTAAAAGTGTAGCCTGGATCAGACAAAAGCAGTTTGTGGCTGGGTATTTGGGTTACATTAGAGTAGGAGTTTGGACAGTAGGGGCCATAAACCTGCTGACGACTCATCTGTACAACAGCTCCTGGTTCACTGCACATTTGTGATTGTGTTAGATCATGTTTGCTCATGCTGCATCCAACTTACACACCAAGGTGAGGATACTGACACTGTACAACACATAACCTAAGGAAAGATCATAGGTAGTACAGAATATTTCCTTGTGTCATCCAGGTATGTGCAATGTTTGTTGAACTGAATAAATCCTGTAAGGAGGGATGACTTAGGGGATTCCATGCTGTGTTCATTGTGATAAACCGTGCATGAAGGCTTTATTATGTTGATACCTTGCATCGTACCTTGTCTTGTGTCTATCTTGGAGCTTTTAATCTTGGTCTAATAGTTAGTTAGAAATTGATTAAATCCAAGATATTTGCAAAGTACCCTTAAGAATTTTGTAACATTTCTTGAAAAACTTTTTCTCGTAAATTATGCTTATTCTATTTGCTAGCTAAATGGTTCATATCTTTTATGCTACATGTCTATAATTTTAATTTGTGTACCAATGTGGTAACCAAAAAAAAAAAAAAAAATGAGGGGATTGCAGAAGTTGCAGGAGGAAAGACAGAAACAAGAGGGAATTTCCACCTCTCTTGCTTGTCTTATGAATAACTGGATCTATATTGAGGTCTTTGAGACTGCTGGTTTGGGGTCTTTTTGGTCTTATTTCTTTTCCCTGGTTACAGGATTTGAGGAGTGGCAAGTAAAACAAGAGGACAGACCCAAAGAGTGGGATGGCTTTCACTTAGGGCAAGCTAGAGCTGGGTACAAGTAGAGCAAAGTCTTAACAGGGGAGATTTAAATAGCTTGAAAGAATGTAACCTATTGACCATGCCTGTTCCACAGAAATATCTCCCCTCTTTATAGTGACTTAATATAGCTTCCAGAATTAAAAATAGCACATAGTTACCCATGTAAATCTTCTCCATTAGTTGTTATGAAAACATCCTGCAGTATGCAAATGCTGAAGAACCAGCTGTGTACTAACTCCATTATACTCTGCTGCTTTTTTTTTTTTTTTTTTTTTGATAGAAAGTAGAGTAGTCATGACCTGCTTTGCATGCATGAGGATGAAAATGACCTCAGGATTTGGATGGGCACCTTTACAAAGTTTTTTTGCCCTCTCCTCTGCCTAACAATGAAAAGGAGTGTTTCTACAGTTGGTCAATGTATACTATTTTGAGAAAGGGATGTTATTTATAATTCTAGTAAATATGATGCTGTGGCAAGTAGACATGTCTGTTGAAGTACAGTCATGGTGACCTGCGAGATCTCAGAGGGAATGTCTTTTGTCAACTTTTGTTACTGGTTATCTGCCTTCTCTGTAAGTTATAGTCTGCTGACAATCTTTTTGTTTGGATTTTTATATGTTCTTTCACCAAACATAGGAGTTATGGCTCTATGTTTCATGTGGCATTTTAAAGTGCTCATTGTAATTTAAAAATTAATCAGAATAACTGGTGATATGTACGGAAAAAAATCCACTGTATATTTAATGCATATTTACATAATATGAGCATCTTAATTCTATTGAAAATTTCATTAAACTGCTGGGAAATGTGGTTGGATGGTGAGCTAAAGCACTTTGCATCCTGAGGAATGCTGCTGTGTAGGCATATGTCAGATACTGCTCAAAAGCTGCAGAGCACAGCTCCTCTTGGGCTGGGAATGAGGGGGAAGACTTTTATTGCATCAGAATACAAAGGAGGAGAAATACTTTCTGCTTGCAGAGCCCAGAATGTCTCAAAGGCAAAGGAAGTAGATGGCCTTACTGTGTAGCACATCATGGTTTTGGGAGGTACCTGTCATCAGCCAGACAGTGAATTTTTATTTCAGACTTCATGCTTAGATCTTTGTACTGCTTAAATAGCATAATGTGTTACTATTAAAGGGATCAAAGTGTTCCAGTGGAACCTTTTGTCCTTCTCAGTGTTGTGTTATGCTAGAAAATGTGTGTTTCTTAATTTCTTGTTATTCTTTTACAGATGGCTGATCTACAGCTCTATAAACTGGATGAATTGGACTGTTTGATCCAGGGCCTCCTTTATGTTGATTCTGTTGGTTTCAATGGCCAACCAGAGTGCTATTATTTTGAAAATCCTACAGATCCTGAACAGTGCCAGAAAAAGCCTTACTGCCTTGATAATCCATATCCTATGCTGCTGGTTAACATAGGCTCAGGGGTCAGCATCCTAGCTGTGTATTCTAAGGACAATTATAAAAGAGTTACAGGATCCAGGTAAATTCACTTTTGTTGTTTTTTAATTGGTTTTTTTTTTTCCTTCACAACTGAACAGGTGGAATTAGAGAATGTGATTGGTAGCTACAGCTCCAAATTGTGCATGTATTCCTATTCCTTTTAAAAGCCTACCAGTAGCAAGGCTGAAAATATCCTAGGATACCTTCAGAGAGAGAATCTGTGTCAGGGAAATCATTGATCTGTTTAACTTTACACCTGCCTTAGCCTCTTGTTGGTGTTCTTACCTATTTCCCATCTCTTACTGTGAATTGCCAAAATAAAACTGTCCCAGCAAATGAGTCTTCTCTCCCCTGCATTCTGTTTTTCGGTGCATGATACAAAGTTTCTCCTGTAAAATGCACATGATGTGATTACATATCTTCTATTGCCTTACCTAGGGCATACCCTTGCCACAATGGTAGCCATGAGCCATTTCTCTATCTGCAGTATGGATGGATACAAGTTCAGTGGGAGGCATTGGATTTCTTGCAGTTCTGGGTCTTTTTCAAGCACAGAGATTTTGTATCTCTGGTAGACATGCTTCTAATCCTTTCCACTGTGGAAGGAAAAACATGTCTGCCAGGTGTTGTTGACTTGTTATAGGTGATGAAATCAATGCTGTCTTGTGGCTGGTGTGCAGAGCTTTCTACTGTTCAAATACTGAGTATACTACAGCTCTGTGAGTTGTGTTCTGAAAAACCCAATAATCAAGAGCATGGACTAAACAGTGACCTATGTGACCTCCTGTGCTTTTTTCCTGAAGTGCAAGTGTGGTGTCTCACTGATCCCCTTGTTTTCAGTGGCTCCAGTCTCTGTGACTGCAGGCACTGAAAATAAGCTTTGTCAGTGGCCAAGAAAGAATGAGGAAGGATGTAGAGATTACTAAGTTGAAGTTCGTGTCTGTAAGACTGAAAAGTTCAAAGTAGAGCTTTAATGGGTTAGCAACATGTTATGCAGTTAAATAATCCCTGCTAATTTTATGTAGTCAGTAAATATTGTACTGAGCCTTTATAAAATATTCAAGTGAGTGCTCCTTGCTCAGAGTTCTTTCAGGGAAAGAACATTCAGGGCTGATGCTGGGCTTGCTTTGAAAAGGAGCCAACCAGAATGCTTTCTGCCATTGGCTAGGGGAACAAGGTCTGTCTTGGCTGCCAGCCCTCATAGATTTACCTTTGTTCACTGTTCATTCTTTCTTCAGTCATTTGAGTGCTCTGCTGGTTAATTATTCTTGTGCAGAAAACTTGTTAGAGTGCTACAAATAGCCAAGTGGTATCTGAGGTATTGGATTGTTCCTTATTCTTAGCTAACCCTTTAGTACAATTCTCCTATTCAAGGATTAAAGACTCAAGGCTAGTTCAGTTAAGACCACACTTGTGTTAAATAGGAGCTCATTGCAGAGTGTCTGTGTTCCCTCCTCGAGGGAAGGGTTCTGAGATGCAGCTGGCCCCTGTGTGCAGCATGTTGTCAGTGGCACTCTGAAGGGCTGTGGTGAAAGCTGGGCTGAAGGGACTGTGCTTTTGCAGCCTTGGAGGAGGAACGTTCCTGGGGCTGTGCTGTTTGCTCACTGGCTGCGAGACGTTTGAAGAAGCGCTGGAAATGGCTGCAAAAGGAGACAGCACCAACGTGGACAAGCTGGTGAAGGACATCTACGGAGGGGACTACGAGCGCTTTGGCCTTCAGGGCTCTGCTGTAGCCTCCAGGTGTGTGTTGACTGGGCTGTTTGTAAGCAGGCCCTTGGAAACTTCCTGTGCATGCTACACTGAGTGCATCATCCCTGGACTATGCACTGTGTCCATGTGGAAATGTCACTCCACGGGTCATGGGGTTTGTCCTTTGATCTCTCACCTACTTCTTGCTCTTTTTTTTTTTAAACAGCTGTAAGTAATGCCTCATGTAGGTTGCTTCCATTTAAATTACAGTTATTTTAGAAGCGTCCTTACTCATTGTTCTGCCTTTCTAATGAGATCCCTTTTCACTTTTCAAATCTGTCACAAATGAATGTTATCAAATCCAAGCAAAGCTTGCAAAATGATAAAATTTTAAGGGCTTTTATCACTCCTGAATATCTCATGTTAAAAGGCATGATCTTCCTCACACAGCTTTGGTCATATGATGAGTAAAGAAAAGAGAGATTCCATCAGTAAAGAGGACTTGGCCAGAGCTACTTTGGTCACCATCACCAACAACATCGGTTCCATCGCTCGCATGTGTGCACTGAACGAGGTAAGTTATTTACCATGAGCTTAAAATCTTTAGAGACAACATAGTGAGATTATCAGCATGCAAAAATGCAAATTGCTGACATAGTAGGTGTGTCAACTGGCCTTGGTAAATATGCATGTATTTAATGTCATGTTATAATTCTTGTGGCTCATTATGTGCATGCTTTGATGTAAAGTGTAAGGCTGTCCAAGCTTCAAAGCTACAGAAGAGGGGAGAAAAATTGTCTGTAAATGCCTCTTCAAGGCATTGAGTTTCAGCCTGGAATGCTCACTTGTTCTCAAGCTGTAATACATAGATATTACCATGTTTATAATGCAAATTTTTACTCTGTTACTTTGTAGCTATTTACAGGTTTTACTATGGCAAGATAGAATTTATTTTGAGTACTATTTTGCTTGGATTGCTTCCATAGCAGGATGGGTTGAAATTGTGTATTGTGTTAAATGTTTGGATAGATGCAAGTTCCATTGCATTGTGTAAGAAAAAGGAAAAATGTAGTTAATTTTCCTTCCAAGACTCCTATCAGATGCTTATTACATTCTTTTCATTAGGCATGATAAATAGGGATGGATTGTTCCATCCATACAGTACAGCTTCCAGCAGCTGAAAAAAACCAAATACAAACCCCACCACAAACCCAAACATTCAGGCCCTTGCTTTTATTTGCAGATTTCATCCTTTACCATTATGTGGTAACTAATACCTTTCATCTGCTCTGAGTAGATAATGAATTTATAGAATTTTTTAAAATATGTAGATGTTTTAGCTGCACAGCATTCTGTTGGTAGAAAAAAATTGCTGCCATTGTTATATTTTTAATCAACAACACACAGAGCAAGAAAAATTGATCAAAACAAACCCAAGGAGCTCAACAAACTGCAATCTAATCACTTTATTGGGTCCCATCTAGCTTATGGCTTTATCAGAAATAGTAAATAATTAATCACTAGTGCTTTTTGAGGGTGTGGGTTTTGATTTGATTTTGAATCAACTTTTGTTTCCTCTCCCTCTTGGTCTTTCCAAGACAAAAGGTCCTAATACTTAGTCTCCTTACCTAATAAAAGAGAAGACATTCTTTTATGCATTGTTTCATTTTGTCTTTTAAATCTTTTTATGGTTGTAATTTTAAGGTTGAATTATCAGATCTTTATATGATATTCAGAGTGTCGTTGCTCAATGAATTTATGTGATGGCATAGGGATAAATTTTGTGTTCAGAGATCCTTTGCTAACAGTTCATAATATTTCATTTTTGTGAGCATGGAACTCATTTCTAAGAAATCAACAGTCGCTCCATGGTGTCATCTTAAAAGCACTTTCCCCCTTTCAGTTGTGTCATTTCACTCTTTAAATTTAAACTTCATCTGCCATTTTTCCCTCAGTCATGGGATGTAAGTCTATTCAGCACTGCTATGCTGTTCATTTTTTATTTTCTTTTGATTTTGTATACCATTATTATGTTTTTTGCTCACATTCCTCTCTGGAGGACCTGATCAGCCCAAGTTGCATTGTATGCCCCTTTCAAATGCCACTGGTAACCTTCCTTCATTCTGAAAAGTGGCTACAGGCTTACTTTTTCTTTCTTGACAATTTGACTCTTTCAGTCAGGATGATTCTCTCTGAGTGTTCTCTTTGCTTTCAGCTTCTTTACAGTGTTGCCTTGTGGCATGGAGTTCAAGCAGCATTGTACAGGGCTATCAAAGCATGGAGAGTTGCAGCAGGGAACCACACAGGAGGAGACAGGCTGCTAATGAAACTAATGCTTCTGAGTCACTGTGAAAAGTTCCTACCATCTTTGTTCTGGGGGCAGGCCTCTAAAAAACTGGTGTGATCCATAGAATTTGGTGGAGGAATGGAATTGATGTGTTAAATATTCTTCATTTCACAGTGTCAAAGCAGAATTTCTCCACCACCTGAAGTAAATGATTTTGTAGTTGTAGAGAATGAAAACACTTCATTTAGTTGCTTTACATGCTATTAAAAATAAAAACATGCAGTATCATTTCAAGTAAGCTAATCTTCAGATAGCTAAATAATCTAGGCACCTAAATTGCCTTTGGGAGACATGGCAAGGCTTACTTTCAGCAAGCCTGATGAATCAAATCCTCAAATAAGAACTAAATGAATAGTTGAATATGATATTCTTTTGTGGAGCTTGTATGTATTAGATTAGGTTTATGGTAAAGCTCACTTTTAGGTTGACAGAATCAATTTATACCCTGAAGCATGACTTCTGATAAGTTTTTCCCAATGATTGCAGCTTTAATATTGTGTTGAAAATGACTTGCATATGTGCAGGAAAAAATGAGACTGGGAAATAAATGAAATGTTCTGTCTGCAAAACTTCAAAGCAAATTTGCTTGCACAAAGTTGGCAATGGGGTAGAAAAATTCCGTAGTCTGGAACCATTTGGCCACAGACCCTTTGAAATGGCCTGTCCTAGGCACAGCAGAACTGCATAAAGGAAACTGATCTCCTGGTTTATACTTTCCTTACTTGCAGAACATGTAAGTTTGCATCTGAACAAGCTGCCTTGCAAAAATATGTGCAGGTCTTTAATTGCGTTATTGATACAGATTTTCCTATTCAATTATATTGGTAAATAATGTAAATAGGCTATATTAAAACTATATTATAGCTATGCTATACTACTGCTTTCTGCTGCAGGGTAGTTGAACAATTTAACAAGACCCCACAGAGTGAAAGAGTGCGTGTCTTTTCCAGGTTGCTGTAATTTGATTAGCTTAAATAAGCATGTCACCACCATCTCTTCAGCAGTTTAAGATTTATGTCTTTCAGCTTTGAAAGTTTCAGCAGTGGACAATTTAAAATTAAATTGACAAGTCTCCCTTAAGAGTAGCATTTCAGCTTCTGAAAAACGCTAAACTTGTTTTTAGTTCAGATCAGAAATTTAGGAAATTTATATTATTAATACAGCTTTTCACCTTGTCAACTCAAGAAATGTTTGAAATAAAATTGAAATGTGCATGTTGGTCTACACTGTTACTCTAGTAGATACAACTAGTACTGGTAGATTCAAAATTTGCAGTAGTTTTTATACTCTGTTAGGTATTGCTTCTGCTAACAGTAGCTTTGTTTTTATATTCAGAAAAAATCATATGTATGTGAAATTGAAATGTAGATTCTAATGAGTTTTATGCTATGGCATTACAGGAAATTAATTAGTTGTGTATTTGTCCCTCCTTTGTCTGAAATTGCTTCAGAGACAAAACTGCTTTAGCCAAGGGTGCAGGGTGCTCTTGGCCATGTTCCATAGCAGCAGTTTGAAATTTAAGAAGTTCTTTTTTTCATTCATAAATTCCTGAGTATCAGTGCATGCTGATGTGGCTGCAGGGTCTGAGGAGATAGATGACTGCAGGGGAATGGTTTCAGTCCAGTTTGTGTGGCTGTGTTTGGTTTGAGGGCAGTCAGGGCTGGCCCTCGCCCAGTCTGCACACCGGTGAAGGAGCTCTGCTCTCTGGGGATGGGCTCTGCAGCCCTGGCCACTCCAGTGAGGATGTCCTGGGCTGTGACACAGGCACTGCAGTAGGAATGTCCCTGGGCTGTGACACAG